ATTAGCGCTAAGCCTTGCTGCTTAGAGCTTTCGCTTCTGCCGGCGGCGGCGTCGCTGCATCTATGCGCTGAGAGAGAGCATTGCATTGATATTCGTTATGTTTAAGCCGACCTTTTTTTGCTCTTGATCTCGCTCTGCGCTCTTTGTTCTTTGCTATTCAAAGCCTTCGCTTCTATCGGCGGCGGCGTCGCTGCATCTATGCGCTTAGAGAGAGCGTTGCCTTGGTTTAAGCGACGCTTTCGCTCTTAATCGTTTCGGCTGCGCGCATTACTCATTTTTTTCTCTTAATTGTCAATGCGTCAGCGGCGGCGAGAGAGATGCCGTTAGATTTCCAAAATCGTATTCTGTCCGCGTCCGTTTTGTCGTTTTTTGCTGCCGTTGCTATGTAAACTACCCTGTGCTATTACTACGACGGGTGTACCTGACTTGTTCCAAATAAACATATTTTCTTTATCTTTGCTATTTTATTGAGATCGGGGTGAAAAAAGGATTAAGGGAACAGTTTTCTCGGGGTCGGGGCTGGGGAAAAATGTGATTCATCACACCCCCCCCCCCCCCCCCCAGGGGGAGTTTTGCGGGTCCGTTGGCGTCGCTGCTTCCCCAAGCCGCAGTATGGCTGGTGGTCCGGTGCGATACCGGCAGATCCGGTAGCGCTGCCCGTCAAATGTCCTGGCGTAATGGATGCGCTTCGGGGCCGGTTCCTGGATCTCTCGTTCCACGTGCGCCACGAGATCGTATGGCAGGGTGGTCTCGGTGGTCCGCCATCCTGCGGGCGTGGCTACCCAGTGGCCCTGGGTTGGTAGCGTGCGCCCGGGTGTCCTAGGGACTTGGGAGGTGCCCTCCTCCGGTGGTGGGTTCTGCTCTGTCTTCTCTCGCCGCCGTCGATGGACATGGTAGCCCTCCCCCACACGGCTGCCCGGGTCGTCTAGCAAGGTTTGGGGTAGGCGGAGTGGGGTGGCTCGCTGGTCCTCGTCGTTCTCCTCAGGGGAGCTCTGCCGGCGCTCTGTTTCCGCCTCATCGTCCCAGCCGCTATCGTCGGACAGGGTCCATGTAGGAGTCACGCCTTGAAATGGGGGTGGGGTGCACGAACTGGACGAGGCTGAGACTGCGGGTGTGGGTGTGGATGGAGTAATGGCTCTGCTGGCTTCGGTGGGGTTGGCGGAGTTAACTTCGGTGGGGTTAGTGGTGGGGTTAATGTCTCTGCTGGCTTCGGCGGGGTTGTCGGAGGTAACTTCGATGAGGGTTGTGGTGGGGGCCTGGGATGTGGTGATGGTTTCAGTGGTGTCAACTTCGTTGAAGGTAATGGCTGGGGCGTTGGTGTTGGGCGTGACCTTGGATGACTCCGGCAGTGCCCGGTCCAATAACACGGCCAGGTACACCTCTTCAAGCAACGCTACGTCCGACGGGTGTCGGTAATGCGGGATGTGGTCCACCCGCTCTTCCCCTGCTAGCCGGACACCGGGCCCAAAAGCTGCTGACGTTCTGCGGTCACCACTGGGTAGTGCCGACTCTGGTGGCTGACCAACTGCTGCGTAAGGTGCGCCGCCAGCTGTTGCCTTCTCCTCTCCGCCTTGTGGGCCGCCTTCCTCTGTCGTTCTACGGCAGCTTCCGCCTCCTCCTTCTGTGCCAATTGGGCCGCCCAGCGGTTACGTCGAGGCTGCCGCTCAGTTGTGCTGTGGGGTGTTTTACTCGTAATATTAGTAAGAACAAGGGGAAACTGCTACCTAATGCCTGCGCTTTGCCTAATGTCTGCCTGTAGTGCCTTATGTCTAGCTCGTGTGACTTAGAATTAATACAAGATAAGTGTTTTTCCCGCCCCTTAAGCTATCTTGGCGTTCATATCTTGATTCTCCTCGTCACCGGGGACTTCGTGGAACTCCTTTACATCGGCCACGTTGGCCGTCCTCCGCTGTCGTGTGCCTGGCCGTTGTAATTTTACGATGTTCGTGGATACAAAGCTGACGACCTTGTACGGCCCATCATACCGTGGGCCTAACTTAGCAGCGAATCCTTCGGCTGCCTTACTGAGGAAGTGAGTGCCAGAGCTGTTAAAAATGGTTTATAAAAAGCATTCGAATATAAAATGGAAATGTTTTTAAATTTTTCCAATTGAATGGAAATGCAAAATGGGTTTTCAAAAAAGGTATTCGAATGTAAAATACAAAATAGGTATTTTGAAAATGGTTTTTTCAAATAAAATGCTTTTTTGTAACTATCGTTTTTTGTTTTATTAGTATTTTCAAACTATGAACACAATCGTGATTTTTTTACAAAAATTGTTTATGGTTCTAGCATGATTCATTTGCTTAATTTGCATACCTATATGTAATTCCAAAGTTGGTAATTTTTTCTTTGTAAAAAATAACTTAAATATTAATTTGTTGATTTTAAAACGACAATTTTTTCAAATGAATCATCTGTCATGCTGCGTCTATGTGGCCGCATTATCATTCCACCATAGGAAAAAAGTCTTTCAACGGGGGCTGAACTTGGTAAACTAGTATTAAACTTAAGAATTATAGTCTTTATGATAGGAAATTGCTTTGGGCTCATTTAACTTAAAAAATTTTTCAAATCTCTTTTTTAAGACTTTTCTGCATTAACTCAATTAGATCAATACAATATTTAGGGTCATCCATTTTTAAATTATTAAAAATTGGTAGCATTCTTAACAGTTCTGGAAGAAGACAGCCCTAATACGTGTGTTTGTCACCTTCCAAGCTTTTAATGCCATCAGCAATGGGTTTTGAACATTTTATGTACTCTTCAAGAAAGAGCAATTCAATTTCTTTAATAACGGATAACCCAAATTTCTTTAAAGTGTCATTTAAATTTTCCTTAACGGACAAAAGGTTTTTAATTGAGTTATAATACGAATT